GAGGAACAGGCTATTTCTGGCCTGTTCCGCATCCCTGTTTACGTGCCTGAGTCTTAGGGGCAGGTCGAAACAATGAGGGCCTGAAAATGGCCCTCCGTTTCAGGCTGAAAACTCTGGGTCTGAAAAGACCCAGAAATAGGCTGAAACGGGGTAGGGCCTGCAGGCCCTCGTTTTTCAGCTTTCAGGCTGAAACAAACGGGCCCTGTAAGCCCTAAGTTTTAGGCTTTTAGGCTGAATGTCCGGGACGCGCCCTGCAGGGCCCGTGTGGCTACGCAGTATGCCACATCCAGGCTCCAGGTGTTTGCCATGATCTCATTGGCCCGTGATAAATGTGTGGCGACAATGCTGCATTTTCATTGGTCCACGGCCACGGCGTGGTGTCGGCCTCACACTGCATGTGCCCAGGGCGCAACCACTTGAGCCCTGGGCTCAACTGTAGCACAGCTGCTGCTTCTGGAAGCAGCCACAAAAGGCTCACGATGTTCTGTAACCAACTGGCGTGCGGCAACTGTCTGATACCCACATACAGAAAATGTTGAAAATAGGCCTCTTGTGGATGTACCGACCCGCCTTCACTTAGGGCGGGCACGAGGCTTGCTGGGGGCCACAACCCTGAACATTTGCATGCCCAAGAAGGGCCTCACGAGGGCTCATTCCTCGCATTCCATTCCCCTTGCTTCGAAAGTCTGCTGAGATGCTTCTATGTAGGTGGCTTCCCCTTCAACTTCCATTCATACTCTGCCACGATCTGAGGTGCTGTTCTAACAAGCTCCTCTCTTGTGAACCAACGATCTTCTTTTGGATCCGTATGATGCTTGAACCTGGTCCGATACTCCCTCATTCGTTTGGGCGGTCTTCCTCTGTCCACAGGCTTGGGAACTGGCAAGTCTCTATTTTCCCAGATGTTGTCAATGTCCACAAGTCCATCCATGGTTAGGGGCAGCATTGATCCCCTTGATGGGAACTGATCAGTCTCAGCAAAAGGTTCACGCTTGGAAGCATGAGATACAGGGTATGAGCGCAGATGACCAAGGATTCTTATTACATAAGATCGCCCATCCAAGTTACTACCCACTATATCTAGGACTTCCCAAAGACCAAAATACTGCGGCATCATATTCCTAGAGATTCCGAATTCCTGTCCCAATTCACTTGCTTTACCCTGACACCCTCCCCTACCTGAACTGTGGTTGTCGTCTATGTTTATTCTCAGAGGCAATCATTGCCTCCAGAGATTTCCTAATTTGCTCGACAAACTGCTGCAATAGCTTTTCATACGGGACACCAAACTCTATGGTTCTAGGTGTTGCAGTTGGTCAGTTTTCAGGAAGGAGGAAGTCTAGTGGAGATCTAGGCTTCCATCCCAAATGCAGTTGATTGGGACTGACGCCGATGGTGCTGTGTACGGCGTTATTGTACAGGCTGGCGATGAGAGGAAGTTTCATCTTGGTTGGGCTTGATGTAATGCCTCAGCAAACACTGCACCACGCGGTTCATCAGCTCCGCTTGGCCGTTTGCTTCAGGATGATTTCCCAAAGTCATTTGGAGTTGGCTTCCCATTTGTTCAGCAGCCTTCGTCTGCATCTCGCTGGTGAATCGGACATTTCTATCACTAACGATTGTCTTGGGTAGTCCAGAGTCACGCAGTGCCACCCAGTTATCCATAAATAACTTGATGACGTGCTTAGTCGTGGCAGTTTCCGGCATAGGGATTAGTCGCACTTAGTGAACCTGCCTACTATGACGAATATGTGCCTCTTGCCACTCTTTTACGAGGGTATGCATAAAGTCCATGGAGACACTGTCCCGGACCAGCAGGAATGGGCAAAGGCTTCAATAACCCAAGTGGGGCTTGAGTTTGCGGCTTATCCCACTGACAAACTTGGCAAGTGTGAACGTACTTCTTTGCATCGTCAAGCACACTAGTCACCAGAAACGTTGCACTAAATTAGCACTAGTCTTCTTGTAGCCGAAGTGACCAATCGCGTCACAACACTCGCCTAAAAATAAATTACGCAAATTCTCACTAGATGGCACACACAAACTTTTGAACCCTGCCTTTTCAAGAAAGAGTAACCCATCCAGCATCACGAACTCGTGTGATGCTGCTTTATCTTGGGCCTCTTGTTTGCGGATGATGTCCATCATGATAGGATCTTCCTTGTAGGCGTGCACCAACGATCGAGTTACTTCGTTAGATAAGCCAACCTTAGTAATTAGCGCACTTAGGTAGTCCGCCCTACGTGACAACTCATCAACAACCTTGTTGTACTCTCCCTTCACATAGTCTAGCTTAAAGTTATATTGATCTATGACTTCGATCCATTATTTGAGTGCATCGGAGAGAAGAGGCTGTGTCTTGATTCACTAAGTGTTTGATGGTCCGTTCTCAAATAGAAGAACCTACCAAGCAGATAATGCCTCCAGTGGACAAGGGCTTTGTAAAGGGCGTAGAGTTCCCTCTCATAGGTGGACTTTGCCAACTTCTTCGATGACATCTTCTTACTCATGTACTCGATCGACCTCAACTTTTTCCTTTCGTGTTGAGCCAACACTGCGCCTATGCCATATTGGCTTGCGTTAGCGGTGACGATGAATGACCTTTTCGGATCGGGGACCATGAGAATCTCAAGATGCATGAGGGCGTACTTCAATCTTTTGAAGGCACCCTCGC